TAGGGTAATGAATATTGGCAAATGTTGCCAATATATGTAAAAATCCAGCAGTTTATATAATGCAACTTTAATATATGTGATGTAATGTCAAAGGTTGTAAAATAAACAAATCTTACGTGTCAGTCCGTAAAATTACACTGCTAAACAGAAGATAAATAAGGAGATTTTCCTCAATCATCACGATATCCGCTACCCTGATTGACTATTGCACTTCTACATTTCGCGCCTTTGTTGCTACATTCCATCTTCAGCTTGTAAATTGTAACGTTTGGGTAGACGAAATGGCTTTGCCGCCATCTATGTGAAGTCATAATATCTTTATGGCATATACCATAGTCACCTTTTACATAATACATTGCCACGCAATAAAATTGGGTTAGAAATGGAAATAGAAAACTGACCTCACGTATTTACCTCATATATTTTATTTTTCAATATTTTATGTTTGTCAAATACTCGTAAATATGTTTCATTATTCTTTATTTCTCTTTCGATCGAAATTATACAATTGCCACCACCTTTAGCTTATTAAGACTTCACTGCTGAATATAGGCTACTATCATAGATACTCACTCATATTCATATCTGGTGCTAACCGAAAACGCAGTTTTTTATTATTTTGAGATGTTATATGAAAAATGCTGCTGTAAATATTCGGTTTAATTCCTTCTGTTGCCTTTTATGACACATAGGGGATGACGCCTTATTATTTAATTTAACCTGTCGCCATTATTTTCAACAAAAGTTATTTATTATTGAGATTAAGTAGGGTTGAGGGAGGTAAAGTATAGTTGTGTAAGTCATATTGGACTCATAATATAAGAAATATATACGCCGTATGACGATACTAATATTTGTTAAAGACGGCGTGTAATAGAAACTAGAATAATAGAAAAAGTATACAAGGTACTGTCGGAGCCCATAAGATCATCCCGGCGTTTGGACATGGTAGAGCCATACTGTTTTTATATTGTAGTTGTACATCGAATAGATTGGCTCACAATACCGGTGTAAAGTAGCTGCAACAACGTAATGCTGCTTTGTTTCGTATGGTAAGCAGTGAGGCATTCCATCTTAATTCTCAGGTGTGGTGACAATGCTTTATTCTATAAAAAATCTATGTCATTTACGTCAGACGTAAAGTATCCAGGCCGGCGACTGATACGCTTCGTCAATCCGCTTACCAAGCGTGATGATTGAGGCAAATTTTATCTTTAACGGGAGAGGACTCTGGATACTGCTGACTGCCGACTGTTGGATATGACCAGCAGTGGGTATTTAGAGGTCACTTAGGAAATTAAGGAACAAAAGACAGCATAGTTAAATTATTATTACATAAACATAAACATACATAAAATGTGACGCCTGATACCCCAGAGGGGTGGGTAGAGACTACAGATTCTCATCTGGCACGATGCTGCGGTACCTCTCTCGTTTCTTCTCGTTACATCCATATACCTACGTATACTTACTAAGGACTATGAACTCGCTGTAAATTTCAAAGTACGAGCAACACGGGTTCGATCTCTGCAGGTACCAATGAAATTGTTAATTGTAATTATAACTGCTGATTTGAGTAAAGGAAAAACTCGTGAGGAAACCTGAATTTTTGAGAAATGAGAAATATTTAGAAGACCTGTGAAGTTTGCCAACACGCATTGGGGCAGCGCGACGGACATTTGCTTGCCTTAAAACCTCTAAAAATAAGTCGAGGTCTGTGCCCAGCAGTGGGACGTTTATAGGCTGTAACTTTAACTTTTAACTTCAACATGATCGTAGGGTTCGTTCTACTCTTAATTTGGACCATCTTCAATATACCCCTATAATATAATATACATTTATTTTTTTCCATTTAATTTGAGTCAGACGGTGTCACGTGACCACGTAACTGACTAAGTAAGCTAAACTATTGTGTAACAATACGTAAGTACAAAAACACCGTAACTTCATTGTCTAGCGCTGCCGCCATAATGGTACTGATGTCATTTAATAATAGCCTTCTGGGATTTAATAAGCGTATATAAAATAACGTGCTACAGACATTTACTTCTGATATAAATAGCATGAGACTTTTTAACATTATTTCTGAGAACTCAAGTCTGGAAGTTGCACCGTGGTAGCTATGAGTAGGTGGTCATTCTTTATGACAGTCTATTAAAGTATTTTATTCACTAGTACCTGGTTGACCGAGCTTTGCTCGTTTTTTTTTAAATCGTGTCTTTTGGGAATTATATTTAGATACAAATTACATAATGATGAAATATAAATAATATTTTTTAATCTTACCCACATAATGGAAAAAGCTATACTGGTTATTTGAAAAAAAATCAAGAGTGCAGTTAGTTTAATTTAAATTTTCGTGTTTTTAAAAAATGCTAAAAAAGGGGTTCGACATTTTCTAAAAATGAATCCTAGCTAGATCGATTTACTGCCCCCGAAACCCCTGGAAACTAATTTTTATGAAAATGGTTGGAGCCGTTTCCAAGATTCCGATTCCATATATACAAGAATTGCTCGTTTAAAGGGAATTGGTAGTGTAAAACGTTTACTGCTTCATATCGCGCCGAGGGTGTTGTAAGTGGCGACAGGAATCAGAAACAGGCAATCGGCAGCAGCATCATCCTAACCATTCAAAATTATAAAGACTGCGGTGTCATCCCACTTGCCAAGCGTGGGAACTATGGTTAAATCTACGGGAGTGGCCTTTGTTCACATAGTCCAATTAATAGTAAGTGGATGCTGTGGCCCATAGACATCTAGTTTTATCCTCGATTGAGAATTAAAACGCAGGTGCGTTGTCAACCCTGAGTACTAAGATGGAATGCCTCGTTTCCAGTAAAAAAGGATCTTCAAAAACTCTACACTCACCATACGAAACACAGTATTATACTGCGATTTCATGCTGGTATTCTGTGAGAGCGTAGTTCTACCCCGCTCGAGCCGAACCATTCGTGCTACAACCATAATATAGCTGCAGCGTGGCTCTACCACGTATAAAACACATTTAAATGGGAAGAAGTACGTCTTTATCCATACAATATCAATTTTCTTCAATTTATAATCAGATTATTTTTAAATCTATAGGAATATTAATAGTTAGTAGTAATTTATAATCTAAAAAACAAACCACAAATGTGCTGAATTTCAATTTGTTACTCTAAGGCTATTTCACTATGTATATATATACATGGGGATATGACACACAATATTAATTTTCTGCAATTTATAATAGAACTCTTTTTAAAACTTATGGGAGTATCAATGTTTGGTAGTAATTTATAATCTAAAGACCTAGTATTAACTATATACTTACTATATAGTATTAACTATATACACTTACCAAGTGTTTAGCCTTAAAAACTAAAGCAAGTGTGCTGCATTTCGATTTGTCACACGAAGCCATCCGCCCTAATGTTATGCAAATCGTTATTACACCTTAAAAGGCTTTCCCTAATAGCATACAAAAGCACTTAGCACGTTTTCTGTCACCTCATATTTGTAATTCTGTGAAACACTTGACCGTGGCATCATTTCAATGGAAACTAGACCAATGTTTTTTGACAAAAGCACTATAAGTGATGCACTTTTTGTTTACTATTGAATGTTTCGTTCTTTCTTAACTACTTGGTATTGATTTGAGTTGTTGACTTACTTGACTCCTGATGTATTTATGACATTTATAAGCAGATAAATGTCTATGGGTCACAGTATCAACTTACCATCAGGTGTGGTCGTTTGTCACCTTTACTACATTCTAAAAAATGCGAATATGGGATAATTTCAAATTTGAATGATAATTATTTAAAATTTCAATGGCCTTATTATGAAAAATAGTTTATTTAGTTTTCGGTTTAAACTATAATCGTGTTCACGAAAGAAGTGATTCAGAAATATGAGAAATAAAATGTAATTAATATATAATAAATGTATAGTTTGCCAGCTAATGTCAAATTTTACGAAGACTATGGCGCCGAGACTAAAGGACTTATTTAGTTAGAAGGAATTATTAAACCATAGTAAACTATGGTTTAAGAAGATCTCGAGACTATTCTTTTTCTGTTTTTAAGTACGTTACCCTCTCTAGGATTTTCTTCTGTATTGTGGAGGCAGTGTACATACATAAATTTCACAAGGACAAATATCGGAACCTGAAACAATTATATATGTAGATCGTACTAACACTTACTCCGTGCGGGATTCCAACCCGCGGCTCTCAGCGCTACAACTCACTGCTAAGCCACTGTGCCACAGAGCCGATATAACTCCTTATGTAATAAGACGGCACAGTCTAACTACTATCTCCTTAGGCTGTGAAGGCGGCAAATTTGTCTGGATGACTTTCTATTTTTGTCAAACTTAATAAATAACATAAACGTATCCTCAAGCTTTTGTTTATTATTTACCGATGATAAGTTTCCAGAACGGGTACCTCGTACTCACAAGCACAGTGTAGGTTGACACAGATTGAGCAACTACTTGATGAAGCATGCAGGGAATTCACGAGTCCACAACATTGTTCGGAACCCATAAGATTCTATTAGAAGTTAGGGGATGATAGATTCTCTTCCAACGCCATCACATAGCTATAATATTAATTTAAAATTTATTAGGAACATTCTTGTAATGATAATGACCATCATCATGGTGACGAACAATCGAAAGCTACCAAGTGCGCAAAAGATTTTATAGTGTCGCAACCGTATGCGTAACCCATAATAACATTCCTCCCAATTTGTTTTTTTTTACCGCGCGGTGGCGTTTTGTGAGTATCTACTATCCAATATCGTTTCGTAGATGTCGTAAGAGACGACAGAGGGAAACGAACTAGAAGCAAAACTAAAATATTTAAAACTGTAGTTTTTAACTCTTCTGCCAAGCGTGGCAACTATGGCAAATATCCCCTCTATGAAGCAGTCTACAGGGGAGTCCTATGTTCAGCAGTAGACTTTTACGGTAGTGGTATTTTGGTATTATAAAATAGAACATTTATGTTTTTACAGCTGGACGCACAGCAGCGCTACACTCTCTTTCAACGTGCGCTCTGGGAAGCTGCGAAACAAGTCCCGCGCGGTGCTATCAGAGACTTTGGTACCTTCAGACAGCTTCAGTTGCTCTCTATCATTGGACCGGCGGCATTACCACCAGATCAACTCGATCGGGTAAGTTTAATTTTTATTATAGAAGAATGATTTCGTCAAAATTATTTTAAGCTATCGCCTAACTACAATCCCACCGCATAGTAAATGATGATGTAGTCAAAGATGGTTAAGCGCACTAACTTAACTAAACCTTATTCACTCTATCCTTGAAGTTATCAGATTGTAATCAGTTGGAAAGACAGATTTATTCATTAAAATTTGTTTTAATTAATACGTTTTATGTCAAATATGAAATACACAGACCAGCGACAGTGCATTGTCAAAGATGTCTGGCACTGCCATCGTCAGTCTACTTTCAAAGTATGTAGATTGAATCAAATTAGGCCTCCCTACAACGTGAGAGGCATACCCACTAGAAAACTTTTACGGGCTGATTCAGGAGAAGAAGGATATAGATATCATCTATACTATAGCTATTACCTTCTTTCTCACTGGCTGATTGTCTGATCTGATCTAGTGGTCGTAACCACAATTGTCAATCATGAGATTTGAATGCCCGGGTAGGGCCAAAATTTATTATTGGGTTTTCTGTCAAGATATTCTTTTATGAAGTAATGTTTTACCCCTGTGCCTTGCAAAAGCACGTAAGGACTTTGATCTGGAATCTGATTCTCACTCCGTACATGTCAGATGATTGTTCCATCGGACTATGATAGGCACTATAGTCCTGTCCTGCGCAGATGGCTAGTTCCTGTTGAAACAGGTCACCATGACCGACATTTGGTCTGGAGAGCATTATCACCTTCTAGCCAATTTTATCAATTTTATTAATTACAGACTGTGAAGAAATCCATCTTGCATATTATTATAATATTATTAAAAAAAATTAAAGGTGAGCATCTCATTTACTCACTCTATTCGATTATTAAAAATGTAAGCATCTTATTACCTGACTTTGTTTGAAATTGATTGTATGTGTCTATTTTTTTTTATAGAAGAGGGGGCAAACGAGCATGCGGCTCACCTGATGTTAAGTGACTACCGCCGCCCATGATCAACCGCAACACCAGGGGAATTGCAGGTGCGTTGCCGGCCCTTTAGAAAGGAGTAAGATCTTTTCTTGAAGGTCCCCAGGTCGTATCGGTCCGGAAAAATCGCCGGTGGTAAACTATTCCACAGAGAGGTTGTACGCGGAAGAAAACTCCTTTTGAAACGTACTGTGGTTTTTAGCGGTTAACGCGCAAACTTGTGTCTTCTGGGGGTTAAACTGGACTAGATTTAGTCGCCCCCAATCCGAGACTCTGTTCAGCAAGGACTCGACTTCAGACAACCTCATGTGCACGGGTAAATTGTTAGCTTGATAGCTTTCGCCTCCACGATACAGTGTACTTAGTTACTAATGTGTAATAATAGAATTGTCTTCACTCTTAATGGCACTGGATATAATACCTATTTAAGATAAATAAATACTTCTACTATAAAAAGACTTTATTACGTGCTTGAAGGCGAAGAAAACATCGTCAGTAAATCTGCATGTTTGAGAAAAAAAAGGCAATAGCGTAGCATTTGACTTTGTGTGCTTAATAAAAGTCAATTTTGGAATAAAATATGTAGTTGATTTTTTTATTAGAACTGAATTAAGTGCATTGGAAATCTTCATATTTTTTAAATTAAATATTTATTTCAGTACAACCGCATCATAAACGACATGTTGGCAGTGTATAACACAGCGGAGATTTGTGCATATAACGAGCCGTTTAAATGCGGCTTACACCTGCAACCTGAGCTACAGAACATCATGTCGCACTCCAGGGACTGGGACGAGCTGCAGCACGTCTGGACGGAGTGGAGACGAAACACAGGGAGGAGGATCAGAGATCTTTACGAGCAGCTCGTCGATCTCACAAATCAGGCTGCTAGATTAAACAGTAAGTTTAATAGTATATATGACAGATAATTATGCAGTCTTCGTTTTTTTTTAAATAGACACTAACTACTAATACATCCGTTAAACCATTCTTAGTAAGCTTAAAATGCTTGTGTGAAGGGTGGTTTTGATTCACCACAGTAGTCGATTTGCAGATTCGAACCAACGACTTTCTGAGTTTGCAGTCCGTACCATCAGCCTACTGTCGCTTTTAAACAAACAACAAACAAATCAAATGTCTAAACAAATTTTAACAGGTTTTACGGTTATTGATATTTTTGGTTGATTGAATGAAATGAACGAATATCATATACCTTGTTATGTTATTATTACAATTACTTATTATGTTGTTATTACAATTTTATCCATGTTTTATCTTATTTAAGTAAATGTTATTTATCACTAAATTATTCTATTGTTTTTTGTCACTATTGTGCTATTATTTGACGCTAAAGGCTCAAATGGATTACTTTGTTATCGAAACACATATTACATCGCAATATATTTATGAAAATGTAATTAATGTACTTAAAAACGTAAATAGCTTTCACAAGAATAAAGATGTTCATATTTTAAAAACTAGGAACAAACATAAGCTTGATATAGGCACCAGTTACTTATACTCTACAGGATTATTAATTCATTCAAGAAGCAATGTATATGGCTTTTACAACAAAATCCCAGAAAATGTGCAAAATTTGTCATTAAAAAAGTATGAATGTTTTATTAAAGAAAAATTGTACATAAAGAGTTATTATAGTATCAAAGAATATGTATATAAATGAAAATAACTCCTGGGAATAAGATAATCGCCATCATGCTGGTTCTATAAAAAATTAAAAAAAGGTATAAACAAAATTATTGTGTTTCTTCCCAGGACAGAGGTTTTTTTTTTCGAAATAGTGGTAAATAAAAGAGTGGTACATAAAAAATACTTTCAATAAGTATTGTGCAATGATCTATATTGAATAAAAATCATTATTTTCATTCATTATATTTATAATCTACGTTTGTGTTTTTATTGCTTTACTGCTAATAAATTTTCACTGGAGTCATATTTTAGATGTATTGCGACTCTGCCACATATTTATATTATAATTTTGTCACCTATATTTGTTTATCGTTTATTTTTCGTTTTTGCTTATATTTAATCGCTTTGTAGAAACCACTTAACGGATTTCAAAGACATACATACATAACTACATGTACATAAGCATTGACGCCTGTCACCCAGAGAGGTAGGCAGAGACTACAGACTTCCATTTGGCACGATCCTGACACACCTCTCTCGCCTCTTCCACATTCATATACTTATGCATACATGCTCGTCGGTTAAGGGTACTCTTAATTGGGCCACTTTTCAATAGATCGCCAATTTTGGCGACAAACTTTCCCTAGGGAGTTTGTCTTACACGCTGCCGTTCACTTCTATAACACAAATTTGCTTTGTCACTCTTTCCTCATACCACACTCTTCGTGAGAGTGTGTGGTATTTTAAAGACATTTTATAAATGTGTATTGCTTGTTCCAAGTTGAGAGATAGAATTATTTTATTCCGATCAGGTACCCTCAATATTTTTTATTACGAATCTAAAAATTGTTTAAAGTACAAAGAGTCGTCGGTTAGGGCAGAACAAAATCTGCCTGGCCAGTTAATAATATATAAGAACTAGCAATCTGCCCCGACTTCATCTTCGTGATTTCTACATCTCGACAACAGCGTCATCTACCGGATCCAATTGTGAATGTAAACAATCCAGGGATCTATCCAAACACACATAAAAAAATTCATCGAAATTAGTCCAGCAGTGCTCAAGTGATGACCTTTCGTATATGCGGCAATTGATTTTTATTTATATAACTCTCTGCTATAATATGCATGTATTATGCATATTATAAACCTTCTTCTTGAATCATTCTGTCTGTTAATGAAAACCACATCAAAATCCGTTTCGTAGTTTAAAAGATCTAAGCGTGCAGACGACGGGAAGCGCCTTTGTTTTATACTTTGTAGAGATGAACAGTAATTATGCGCCTGAAAAATATGATTAGCAATAATTTTAACAACAAACACAATGCGCAAAAAAGCGTAGGCATAGTTTAATATGCATGTATTATGCATATTATACACCTTTCCCTTGAATCATTCTGTCTGTTAATGAAGTCCTCATCAAAATCCGTTGCGTAGCCTAAAATACCTAAGGGTATAGGCGGCGGGAAGCACCTTTGTTTTATACTTTGTAGAGACGAACAGTAATTATGCGCCTGAAGAATATGATTAGCAATAATTTTAACAACAAACACAATGCGCAAAAAAGCCTAGGCAAGTTTAATATGCATGTATTATGCATATTATAAACCTTTACCTTGAATCATTCTGTCTGTTAATGAAGACCGAATCAAAATCCGTTGCGTAGCCTAAAATACCTAAGCGTATAGGCGGCAGGAAGCACCTTTGTTTTAAACTTAGTACTCTTAGAACAGTAGTTACGCGCCTGAGAAGTATGATTAGCAATAATTTTAAACGAAGGGATATTTTAATGTCAACTTATTTCAACGTTATAGTTATAACTGTTGTTTTCTTTACAGATTTCACTGATGCGTCCCTCTATTGGATGTTTCCATACGAGTCACCAATCTTTAGACAAGAAGTTGATGAGGTCTGGGAACAGGTAATTAAATTATATTTGTAACTATTAGAAAATCCTACACTTTTATTATTACGTTATCTCCTGCAAGAGCGGTTACCTGAAAATCTGGTATTAAAATAGATATTATTACATCTTTGAAGTACTGAAATAATTATAACGTAAACAAATTTCAGGTATCCAAAAAAATAAAGAAGAATACGTAAAAGTAACGAACGGTCCACAAAATATTTCAATTACTTAAATACATAATCAATTATATATTTCAGATTAAACCACTTTATGAGCTTCTGCATGCGTACGTCCGTCGTCGCTTACGTGAAGCATTCGGACCCGAACGGATCTCTAGATCCGCGCCCATTCCGGCACACGTACTCGGAGATATGTGGGGACAGAGCTGGTCTGGGATCGTGCCTTACAGTTTGCCTTATCCTGGTAAAAACCTTGTAGATGTCACTCCGGAAATGATTAAACAGGTACGCATAATATAATATTCATAAATATTTTATACATTGGGTTCTGAAGTATGACAGTCAAAATCGAGTGATATTAGAATTTATAGATGTTGACAAAGGACTAGGATTAATTAATTTTAATGGACTATAGTTAATCCTAATTCTATAAAAATATATTCAAAGTCGAAGCAAAATACTGTACTAAAATTAAAACGCATTGCCTACTATGAACTTATTATATTTATTGGCACGCTTCGAAGACGGATTGCGGATCGCATAATAAGACGTTTTGCAGGGAGGATTTCACTTAACCAAAAAAAAATCTAGATGGAATCATTTGCTAGGAGTCTGTCTGAAGGTACCACTCTTTATCGTATTAATTCCGCTTCTGGCCTTACGAAGAGACGTTGCATTTATATGAATCTTTTACCGCTAATATCACGAGAAATGCTCAGAGGAACTGTTCGGTTTAATTCCACTATACTATACTGCGACAGAACTCTAAATTCCATCTTCATCACTCGCTAGTGGTTTACTACATTCAAGAGAAAAGCCTCTTCCTTTTTAAAAGGTCGGCAACGTACCTGCAATTATACCACTGGTGTTGCAATTGTTCATGGGCGACGGTGATCACTTACCATCAGATGAATCGCATGCTCGTTTGCCTCCTCTTCCATAGAAAAACCTATATCTGCTATCAGTATAGTTACTGTAAGGCTCTAGCAATGGCAATGCCTTTGTAGCCTTGTATATTTGAAGTTGGCTGGAGACGTCTAAGGACTGCCATAGCCACTTACCATCAGATAGCCTGTGAGTTCGATTGTCATCGTCAGTTATAAAAAAATTATTACGGATTTGGCGAAAATCCATGTCGAGTAGACTAAACTCCTGGAATAAATGTAATTGTACGGATTTGATTGTAGCGTTTAATTTTAATGGGGGGGTGGGTATGACTGGACGGGGAATCCATAGAATTAGTTTTATACCATGTGTATTATCCGCGTAAATATAAGAAATCTTTATAAAGACTAAATTCATTTTACGAGAATATACCCTCTTTCGAGGCTCAAATTAATGAATAAAATTATTTTCGTAGGTGCGTAAACTAGTGTATACGGCACTGGCCTGGCTATATAAGAAGTGTAGGGCGGCTCCCAATTACCACATGGTAAGACACGCAGGAAGTTGATGGACGCAGGTTGAGGACCCCGAGGGCCCTGCTTTATGGTAATCTTTGGGGGAGGCTGATGTTCATCAGTTGACTTGTGAAGGGCTGTAATGATGATGATATTGGGCTCTGGATAAAACATATGCTCAGAAATTCCAATGTAATTATCGTTTTACTGCATAGGCGTAGGAGAAGGAGATTTTTCTTCTTAACTATGTTAATAATGAGCTAGCTTCAAATCTTGTATATTTCACTATTGCAGGGCTACACTCCTCTAACAATATTCCAATTGGCCGAAGAATTCTTCTTGTCCATGAATATGTCAGCCATGCCACCAGATTTCTGGGCACTCAGCGTTCTGGAGCAGCCTGTAGACCGCCACGTTCACTGTCAACCTTCAGCGTGGGACTTTTGCAATCGTCACGATTATCGGTTAGTATTTACACAGATAATATTTGATAGAGTCACACTGTTGGGGTGTAATCTGGGCGTCTTCAAAGCAAGAGTGAATAGGCTTTTGTTATGCTAAGACGGCGAGGTCTAGAGCTTTCTTTACCACTTTTGGTTGGATTGAAAACAAAACTTTTTCAAATGTTTCCGTCTTTTTCAAATTTCAACCTTACACCCGCATAATAACTGAGGTTATAGTAAATGAAAATATAATTTATATAGGTGTCGTAAAAGGCAACAAAGGAAATTAATTAGGAATTTCCGGAATTTTCGTAATAAGAACTTGAAATAATAAAAACCTGCAGTTGCCAACCCACCTGCCAAGCGTGCCAACTGTGTCAAATATCATCCTCATGAGTAAATCTATGGGAATGACATAATATATTATATGGGAATGAAATAATATATTATATGGGAATGACATAATATATTATATGGGAATGACATAATATATTATATGGGGATGACATAATTATTAGCATTGGGCTTATGATAGGTTTGAATGATTGAATCAAAAGTAAATAATCATTATCATCATCATTAAGGCTTTTGCCTGTACATAGGCTTTTCTCATAAACTACCACAAAATATTATCCTGAGCCACTTGGATCTATCGGCTACGTGCGTGTTTCATCAGGTCATCACTCAGTAGTTAGTTACAGCCTATATACGTTCCACTGCTGAGCACAGGCCTCGCCTCATTTCTGAGAGGGTTTTAGGGCAAGGAAGTATCCGCCGCGCAGCCCCATTGCCTGTTGAGGAACTTTATATGTCTTCGAATTATTTTTTTCTTATTCCTCAGACATGCAGGTTTCCTCACGATGTTTTCTTTCACCACCGAGCATGTGGTAAATCAGTACTTAAAATCACAATTAACAATTTCATTGGTGCCGGCGGGGATCGGACCCGGGTTACTCGCGCTCTGTTATATTTACAGCGAGCGTTAACCATCGGAACTACCACGGCTTTTAAAATGATAATATATTTGTAAATTAAAAATTTCTTCATATGTAATTTTCCAGAATAAAAATGTGCACACATCCGGACATGAAAGACCTGATAACCGCTCACCACGAGATGGCGCACGTGGAGTACTTCCTGGCTTACAGAAACCAGCCCAAGGTCTTCCGAGATGGTGCTAATCCAGGTCAGTGCCGGCATTCGATCGTTATGTGTAATCTAATTATTTTGTAGTCATATGAGGATTGATTGGCGGAAAAGAAGTTTTTTAGGTTATTGCTTAAATATTCTATGTTTAAGCGCTAAGCTAAGTTAGTGCGCTTTTCCATCTTCGGTGATATCACTACTTACCATTAGGTGGGATGGTAGTCAAGTTTGCTTATATTAGTTAAAAGTATGTATGAATAGCGACTCGCCCCGGCTTTGCACGGGTAATTTCTGGATCTCAACAACAGCGCTACCTACCGGGTACTACCGGGTACAATTGAGTTTTTAAACCATCCAGGGACCCACTCAACAACACACAAAATATCATCAAAATCGGTCGACCCAGTTTTGAGTTTTTGCGAGGTTAAAGAATAGCGATTGACTATTATATGAGAGAAGAAGATGTATTAGATTTTGAAGTTCGAGGTGTCGTGCCAGTACGATTATATTATTTCTGGCAACTTCTAGGCTATGTTTTTTGATACTATTATCACAGTCTCGCAAAACGGAGTACATTGCTTGCTTGTCGTGCCTTATAAGGTATTAGTAACAAATATCATGGTAGACGGGTTCTTGTTTTAATAACATTTTGACGAAAACTTTTTTGTCCCCACAATGGTAGAGGCACATTTTATCCAGCAGTGGAATATTACTCGTTGGTTAAATAACAGAATCAGGCGTTACTTTGTGGAAATCCATTATGTTAAATGTGGTAAGAATTACTTCGCACACATCCGCTCAATAAAATAAAATGATGTGTCTTACCTAGTTTGAAGAACACCTCCCGTCATCCCTCAATTGCGCGCACTAATCTCGTTACCGCTAATCCCAGCATCACTACTCCCTATACCACTACACTAGGAAAGACACCCAATCGACGATAATACGACACGTATTTCGCCTCTACACGAAGCATGTGATGTAAACTTTGCGGTGGTCAGAGTCTACATCACCTGGGCGGGAGGTGCTCTTCAAACTAGCTAAGACACATCAGTGTGCGAAGTTATTCTTTACAACTTTAATTACTTGTTAGTTAAAAAGTATTGCTTATTTTTAGTATAAAAATAGAAAGGGGCTTATGGAATCAATATAATCAACCAATCATCGATATTAAAAAAAATTAAGTGTACTTTTCTAATTAAAGAAGTTCGTCTAGGCAGGTTCTTCCCTCTGATCTATTTCTGCTATCTAATTAATCTTATTCATTTGTCCATATATTCATCACAGCCAATCATAAGTCCACCTAGGCATCCTCCATAGATTGTCTCATAGGGGAAGATATTTGGCATAGCTGCCACGCTTAGTAACCACAGCTTTTTACTATAGTGAGTCAAGATCAATATGCCCTTCTCCTGTTTCTTACAACACCCATGAGATGATATGGCTTTATGGATTTTTTTTCGTTCCCATTGCATGTCAAATGTTAAATAACAGCATATAATGTGACAGCTGTAGCTAAGAAATCGAATTCAGTGCTTATGTAAAAAATAGGAAAAGACCTAGTTCTTTGCCCTACAGGGCATTCCATCTTAGTCCTCAGAGATAACAATAAATATGTAGCCTCCTATGTTTGAACCTGAGTACATCCATGGACTGCAGTAGATACTTCTTTAGACTTGATTTGAAAATGTTGAAAACATGATTTATTTTATTCAATTCGTATTGTATCGTATCAAATAATTTTTGTAAAATTCTCATTTTTAAACCTATTACGTATTTGTAAATATTTTTTCTGATATCATTAATCTTTAAAAAATAAATAAAAAGAGCCCGAAGTTATCACTCAATTTATTAGCGTCAACATATAACTAACAAACTCATGGTCATTAATGCTAGAACATGCGAAACGTACCACGAAGAGGCTTCATTGCAAAGGTCCGTGTCGCAGTTGCAGTAAGTGAGGAAGACTTCTCCGTCGCCGGACATAAACTTGCACGGTGGGTCTCCAATTTTTTCATTCTCATCTTTTAGGTAACCACACTGACGGACAACGCGCACTTTCCCGTAGACTGTAATAAACAATACATCCTTTTTTGGTACCGTAAAGTTTCAGTAAAAATATTATAAGTAAGTAAGATCATGAGTGTAAGTTCAGGGGTGAAATGAAAGCTTCAGTCGCCTGAATTCAAATGCAAGATCCCTTTTGTTGTAATATTGCATATATTATTAGCTGCTATATAACTGTGGTCTTAAACGTTTACGTCATTATGTTGATATCATTCATTTTTATAGTTTTCTTTTAGCGTTAACGATTGTAGAAAGTAAACTTGGCTAACCGCACCATAGATTAAGAAAACTAACGTTTAAAATCTTACTTCGAATATATAGAGATTATGTTTTATTTTATGTTCCTTACAAATAGTTGATATCTGAAGTAGACTGAGTGAAATTTAACGTTGTAGAGCACCAATTCCGCTTCGGAGTCCATCTGTAATATAGCTCTTTTTTCAGGAAGATGTAGTTGCCCACTTCCCGTTTCAGTTTTTCTCTGTCGCTTCTTACAACACCTACGGGACGATATGGGGTAGTGAATATTCTTTCACCGCCAATACAATGGTCAAATGGTCATCTTAGATGTTAAATTAATAACTTCATCGCCTATTTTCTTTTATCTTTAACCTTTAACAGTGGAATTGTTTCTCCAAACTGATAAGAGACTACCCGTGAAGTATATTTGATTAAAAAAAGATCAATAAAATTGGTTCAAAATTGTCGAATATATTGCTTAAAAATACGAAATAACATAAAGTATGAATCGACTTCAATGATTAAAAACTGATCATTAGATCTTTACGAAATTCGCAACAAACTCGGAATAAACCTCTTTCGAACGAAAAAATAATTTTGTAAATCCGTCCATATATGACGGAGTTATGGCCGAACATACATTAAAATATATATAAACATCTGAATTGAGTATCGCCTATTTTTTGAAGTTGGTTAAAAAGAATATACGAGTACAGTTCTTTCCCGGTCATGCCGACCCATTCATATTAATCATAATATATTGCGACAGCGGAATTTCATCATGTGAATAATGAATTTATTATTCATCCATCCTTCCATAACAGTGTATAAAAGTTGCCTTAGCTGAGGGATTTTGCCATAGTTGCCACGCTTTGCAGGCTGGTTGGCAACTGCATGTTTTATTACTTTCGGTTGTTATCAGGAAGATACTACGTTTCAGTTCCCCTTTTGTCGCCTCTTACGACTCATCCAGGACGATATAGGGCAGTGAATATTATCTCATTGCCATTAAATGGTAAATGTTGAATGAATATGTATATTCGTACAATCTTTATAGAATAACGCGATACTCACTCTCCATTTTAATAGACCGGCAAAACGTAGATTCTACTTCCGGAATGTGCTCCAATGGGTCCTTGAGGGAGCAGTTGACGACTCCTAAACTAAAAGGGTCGAATTCCTCCCCGCAGCGGGGGTCGAACGCGCTGTTGCAGTCGTAGCAGAATATCGAAGATGCTGAAGTTTTACAAAATTACTTCATTAATAGTAAAGTCGTACTAAAAATGTGTTAGTTTTGTAATCAGGAATATATTAAAAAAGTTATCTGCCAATTAACTTATACCCTAACTGCCTCTTTGTTCTTAAGTTACCGAGGGTACGGGTTCAAATTCCGGGTCGTGTCAAAATCAGTTATTTGATTTTTCCGACAAGTAATTCTCAGTAGCTGCCCGGAGTCAGGAAGTTGGCGGTGTCTCACTCCCGTGCCTCGGAAAGCACGTAAAGCCGTTGGACTTGAGAATGATTTCTTTTCTGTCGTGTCGGATTACCCTCCAATTGGACTTTGAAAGTGAGGGAATAGCACTCTGCACCGTGCGCATACTCGGTCATTTTAATCCTGTGCTGCCCAGATGGCTAGTCTCTGTTGAAACTAGCTGCCGTGAGCGGTATTAACCTAAATGAATATAAAAGTCAAACAATTGAACAATTTTTTATTACATCCGAAATTTTTTAATTGTTTATGTTAAATTTTATTCTTAATAATAAAATAATAACTTTTCCCTAACTATTAAATATTTAGCTTTGTCTAAGTTAGGGACTAGTCTAGTCAAGCGGTCACTGTCAATGCCGTGTAATGAGACGTAATATAGTAACGCATCTATTGCCTCATTTCGTCTCGCGGGTATCGTTACAGGCGTCAAGGGAAATGCAAGTTCCCATGGCTTCCGATAGATGGCGGTATAACTATTCTGTCTACTCCAGATGTAAAACACCCAGACTGGCGATGAGGATCAGCCACAAAGTTGCGAGACGTTGGCTGCTGCGGTCGTGAATTCGCTTAACAAGCATGGTCCATTTTCAAATGTGGACTATCAAGGGCTGACGAGAAAGAGAACGTCGTTTTAATTATTCTTCTAAAAAACCTTTGGCTACAAACAATTCTAATTCTAATAAATGCTGCTTCTTGCCTGTGTTAGTCTAGCCATACCACGTATATTAGTCTAATCCCCTGCCTATTTTTAATAGTAATAGAGCTAGTCTTATAACAGGTGGTGAAACGATTTTATTACTCAAGGGTGACAACATATCTGCAGGTACAGGGTTCATGGACCAAATTTGTCACTCTCATCTTTGAATCGATTGTAGATTTAGAAAAATATGGTGACGAAGGACGAACGAAATTTGAATTTATGAGGTCGAGTTGTCATTTAACTTCATTTCAATCTTATAAGTGATAAGATTAGATAACTTTCATCTCTTAAATAATGAGTTTTTAAAACGACTTATGTATTGTGTACTGAGATAGAAAGAAATAAAGAGGCAAGAAAGAATCACTTTAGTTTAGCGTTAACTATTAACAACAGTACATACACATTAAAAACCTAAAAATATGTGAATTTATTATTTTAATTTGCTCATAGATAATGCCAAAAAAGTCATCACTAAGCATGAGTGACGGTAAATTACAGCGGCAACATTTAGTAATGACTAACGCCTTGTAGGATACAGTCCTAGACGAATGTAATGAAGTAATATTTGAAATTTTAAATTTATTGTCTAGGACCGTTTGGAAAAATTACCACTATGTTCTAATATGGCATGCCTCAGAGTGATGATCAAGAGAGCCATGCTGATTCACAACGTGCTCAGCAGTGAAGAAAACCTGCACGTCTGAAAAATAAAATATTTCTGGGACATGAATAGTCCCTCAACATGCATTTAAGCGGCATAGGAGTATAACTACTCTATACCCTAACAGAACTTCATACATATTTTAATTCAACCCTCTCCTTTCCACCATCCGACAACCAGGTCGGAGGGCTTTTACCTCTTTGTTGTCGATATTTCACGCATTAGAACCAAACGGTTTGCTTCTTCTGTTGTAATGCGGACAGCAAAGGAGTGAAATAATTTGCTAAACATTTGTCAAACAATCTAGACGTTTTCAAGGCAAGTGTGAACAGGCTTTTGTTACGCTAAGACAGATCTCCATCACTTACCACCAGCTGTGGTTGTGGTCAAGCATTGGCTTTATATTTTTCTGACAGCATGCCTCAAAGTAATACACTCGTATACAAATCACACATTTATAGCTTCAATGTAAGGTTAATTTAAGCCAAGTTCACCGACGATGATAATCCAATTCAAAGGCAAATTGTAAGGTTTCCTGCGACACGCAACTTCGAGTGACCCATATTTGAACCAATAGCAAAATTTGTTCTCAATTTCATACTATCGTTTTTGAATTGTAATGAAGTGTGATCATTTATTGAATCTCAATATTTCGTTTTCCAATCTACAGTTGTAATTATATAGAATTATACTAAAAATGAAGAATGTAACGTCCCAATTATAGACTAAATGTAAACTTAGTAAAAACTTAAACTTAAACTTTTGATTATTGATGTTACAGGGGATTTTAACATAATATTATCTAGAATGATGTAAGCTTATTGAAATAAGAAATTTGACATATTTTTCGAATGGATTCTATAGGTTGGTGACACCAAGCGGAGTAGATTCAGTTTCATTTCAGTGTAATTAAATTTAATAACACGTGATAGAGACCCGCTGCAGCTATATTATGGTTGTAGCACGAATAAGTTGGCTAGACCGGGGAAGGACTACACTCTCACAGTGTACCAGCGTAAAATAATAGATTAATGCTGCTGTGTTTCGTATGGTCAGTGTATAGAACCGGAGACCCTTATTATTGTTAATGAGGCATTCTATCTTAGTCCTCAATTAGGTGACAACGCATCTGCATTTAGATTCTTAGTTGAAGATGGATGTGATAGACACTTGTCTATCACAGCATCTATTAGTCATCAGGTGAACTGTGTATATGTCAGTCAAACTTATTCTAAAAGGAAACTGAATACCCAGATAAATACTGATAATATTACCTCCATTGCTGTCACAGCTGTTTGGAACAATATTAGATAGAACTAATGTATGAGAAGTTATCAAATATTTAGGATGATAAGACGACGAAACATGGTAGTTCAGATAGCCCTTGAGCCTCGCTATAAAATTTCACAGTACGCGAGCAACCCTGGGTTTGATACCCGCAGGCAATAATGAAATTGTAAATTGCAATTTCAAGTAATGATTTACCCGCTACGCGGTAGGGGAAGACATCAGCACATTTAAGATTTTAAGAAAAAGTTTTGAGGACATGTGAAGTCGGCCGACACACAATGGGGAGTACTGAAACGAGTAATGAAACGAGATCTAATTCCAGGAGTGGGACATATAAAGACATGTAACGTTACTTTATTAGTATTAAGAATACTGTATGTGCTTGGTTATTATCGTATTGAGACCTGACTTGTTATATATTCCAGTGTATTATTATTACTATTATTATTAATAATATTCTACTTTTTACTTAACCCAACAAAATTAAAACTAATTTTTGGAAAAAGGAAAATATAATGGGTTTTAAATCTATATTGTAGCACATTTCTCAACTTCTGGCTATTTAAGGATTGAATTCCTTCTGTAATATTTCTAACTAGCGACCTATACCGGCTTCGCTGGGATAGAATTTACTAATGTGTCGTTATTTACACTTAAGATAATTAAATATCAATTATTTTATCTATTTCCCGTTTATTTTTAAATATATCTTCAAGTTTTTAGATAAAATACAGTCCGTATCCTTCCTGGCATTGCTATCTATCTGTTCTTAATGTTTCATCACGACTGTTCAACCACTCCGAAGGTTAGTGTGTACTTAATTAAAAAAATTATTATTTATTACGCAAATAGCCCCTTCAGCTAAATGGAAGCCAGTTATTTTAAATTTAAGACAATTCATTTTTATTTGTGTTTATGTGTAGATTAAAATATAGAAAATAAATAAAACGTGAAAAATATGAAAATTTCAAAATTGCACCAACACTTTAATTTTTTTCATGTGAATTGATTTCCTGAAAATGAAGGAACAAAGACCCAGCTGCTATTGTATTATGACAGCTCGAATGGCTACCGATTGATATCTTTTAGCGGTCAAGTGTTCGGAAGGTCTGGAAGAACCACGCTCTCACAAAATACTAGCGTAAAAAAGGCTGGGTAATGCTATTGTGTTTCGTTACCATACGAACGCGTACTGTCAAGTTTCGAGAACCAAAATGGCTGTCAAAGTAAAAATAAGATGAGATGATCGCAGTTAGCTGTATTATCAAGTATAGTATTTGGTCAAAACGTGGTAGAAGTTTAATTGAAGGCTCCGTGGCTTACCAATGAGTTGCGGCGCTGGGGGCTGTGGGTTCGAATCCCGCACGGAACAAGTATTTCTATGGCCTACAAATAGTTAATTGTTCTAGGTGGATGTTTGTCCTTGTTCAATTTATGTTTGTAAACACCCTCCACGATACAGGAGAAAATCCTAGCGTGAGAATAAAGTTTTTATTAAGGAAACATAATAATAAAAATAATTAAACTCACCATATTTGACACAAGTGACAAGATATGTGATAATCACCAAACAATATATGTTAGTAATGGGTCTCATAGCTACGTATGTACGATACTACCGTGAATGGCGTTCTCTCGGTACTAAATTAAGTTGCTACTATGGTACCGATAATATAATTAGTAAAAGCACCTTGTCAAGCAGTTATATGGTATACTATAAATATATATGAATCAATCTAGATTAAATATACTTTGGAATTTATTCGAGGTTGCTCTTTATTAATACACGACACTTTTCATGCTTCTTTAATAGCCTCATAAACACAGAATGATTTTTAAAATCTATAATGAGGCTCATAAACTCAATCTATTTGTTGTAAACGCTGTGACTCATATACATCTTTTTTTATAATATAAGGGTGACAAACGAGCACACAGTCCACCTAATGTTAAGTGGATGCTGTGGCCCATAGAAATCTACATTTATTTTCAATTAAAAATCAAAATGCAGATGTGTTGCCAGCCCTGAAGACTGAGATGGAAAGCCTCGGTTCCAGTAAAAAGGGTATCCGGTTTTCTACATTCATCATACGAAACACAGCACCATTAAGCTGCTATTTTGCGCTGTTATCTTGTGAGAGCGTGGTCCTATCCCGGTCGAGCCGACCCATTCGTTCTGCAACCACAATGTAGTTGCAACATGGCTCTATCACGTAAAATTCTACACATATCCTCGATTAAGAGTCAATATTCAGATACGTTGTTACCTCTGAGGACTAAAATTGAAATATTTAAGTCCTCCAAACGTTATTTAGGTAATAAATAGCAAGGAGAGGTTTACTCTTTACTCTCTCATTGTCATAGTCCGATGGGACGAAAATATAACACGACCGAAGATACATCAGGCGCAGGACTAACAGCATTGCGTGTTTTCGGAGGCACCGTTGTGAAACACCGCCAACTTTGACTCAACTTGACTCTGGGCGAGAGTTTCTCGACAGAAAAACACAAAAACTGATTTTTGCTCGTCCGGAGATTCGAACCCCTGACCGCTTGATAAGCAATTGCGCTTATGATCATTAGATTAGACCAACGATGCAGTCTATTTAAAACTAAAATGACCAGTTTATAGTCGACCAAATTGGTAAGTCACTGCAGTAAAGGATACTGCAATCCATAGACGCCTGCAGTAAGACACTCAACTTCAAACGAAACGAAGGAAGTCCTTAGATATGTTCCTTCATACAAACGTGCCATACCTATACATTCAATAAAACTTATTTATGTACGGATTTTTTTGCTTTCGATTTTGTTTAATTTAAATTTCCAAATTCAATTGTTTCAAATAATTTTCAATTCAGTGTATACCACGGGCTTCAAAAATCAATTTATCAAATGACGATTGACTTCAATAATTTCCTATTTATCACGAGGATTTGCTGGCGGATTAGTGATCATTCTGGTAAATTACCGCTACTTCTAAAGAATCGGTAGTGCGGTTGTGTTGAACTCTGTCGGCATTTGTTTGCCGGTAAGACACTCCGCAACTGCGGTGTTTTTTTTTGTCACGATAACATTTCGTAACATTTTTACGTGGTACAGCCATACTCCAGCTATATTATGGTTGTACCACGAATGGGTCGGCTCCAATGGGATTGAACCACGCTCTCTCAGGATACTAGATATCAGCGTAAATTAATGGCGTAATGCTGCTATGTTTTGTATCGTAAGAGTAAATAACTAGAGATTCGTTTTAATGGAAACGAGGTATTCCATTTAAGCACCATCTGCATTTTGATTCCTAATCGTATAGATATAAATGTCTATTTGCCACAGCGTTCAATTACCATCAGATGTACTGTGAGGTCGTTTAGTACCCTTGTTTTTAAAAAAAACATTATAAAGGATATGAAAATAAAAAAGTACATGGGTAAAAGTACATACTTAGAATCGACACAGATACTTTACATCTACACAATACCACTTAGGATAATCAAAGAAAGCTAGATGGAGTACAGAGTACATTTTAAATGACTTGCAGTTACGCACATATCTTATGTAAGTCTGGATGCATATATATTAATCTAAAACTATGTTATAAAGTGCAAATTATTTCAGACGCATGTAAGAACACGCATTCGAGTATACTACTTAATTATTGTAAGAACAATAAATAGAGCATGTTTTTGGCTTAGCTTTGGCGTCATTTGAAATGCATCATCTACCTTTTTTATTGGTTTGAGAATACAATGAAACCAAAGGTCAACATCAAAGCAAAGGCAAGCACTTCCCATCAGAGTTACACTGCTTGTCTTTATGAATGTTATGTTATTTAATAATGATGAAATTGAAGTTGAAAACCGTTATTTCTTTTTTAATTTCTTTGATTAATTACCACTTTTACGTATAATTTATGTGCGATGTTAAAATGCGTGTTTGTATAAAGGTTGTTGAAGCCTAACGTAATACGGATGATGTATGCGTTTAACGATCAATAATTACTTTTACAAGTAAACAGAGCGTTATAATCAAGTCAAAACGATTTGTCCATCATGTTTTCGTAGTTTTCAGCACTAAGCGGACAACGAATTTAGTTCACTGATGGTAAATGGCTACAGTCTATGGACTCCCGCAGCCAACTTTAAACGAAAGGCTACACATGCGTTGTCACCTTTGGACCAAGATGGAATGACTCGCATCCTTTAATTATACTGGCTCGTATATACTTCACACCGGAACACAGCGAGAGTGGTAGCTACCTAGATAAACTCCTAGACAGAAAAGAAATTCTACCACCCAGTAAAAATAAAATAAAATATCACAAGGAGGTATAAGACTTTTCGAATGTTAAATCACGGCACACCTTTCAGTTTGACGAACATAGTCTCACGTTAATGAATTAGCATTTCTCTTTAGGTCTTACGCATAGTTTAAATGTAGTTTTTTTAATACGATAGGGTGACAAATTAGCACACAGTCCACCTGATGGTAAGTGTTTGCTGCAGTCCATAGACATCCACATTACAAATCAAAATGCAGATTTGTTGTCACCCGTGAGTACTGAGATGGAATGTCTCGTTTCCAGTAAAAAGGGTCTCCGGTTCTCTACGTACACTATACAAAGCATGCTACTATTTTACGCTGGTATTCTATGAGAGCGTGGTCCTTCCCCGGTCGAGTCGACCCATTCGTGCTATATACACACACACACACACACACACACACACACACACACACATATATATATATATATATATATATATATATACATATATAAGCTGTTCCCCGTGACTTCGCCTGCGGGTAATTTAGGGCTCTAATTTTTTTTTTGCGCGGAGTTCAGTTTCTATTCTTAAATAAAAAGGACCCTAAATTCCTCCATTAACATCAGCTATCTGCCAGTGAATAAGCCGTCAACAACGCTCCAGTCTTTCCGGAGATTGGCCGGAACAAACAGACAGAAAGACTGACAAAAATTATAAAAATTGATTTTTTTTTGTTATAAGTACCGTATATATTTTCATATCTATTAAGTAAAAAGCTGTTATTTTGAAATTACAAACAGAAACTTCAATTTTATTCATTTGTATAGGTTTTTGAGTAGTTTCTCTAAAGTATTTAAGTTCGCCGCTAACGACGCGGTGAATGACACATAAAATCATGTTTAATAACTAGCAGTTTCCCGCAAGTGGAATTTACTACGATTAGATTTGATGGGTTTTCATTTTTAACGCGGAAATCTTATTATGTTTGTAAAACAAAAGTAAATTTATTATTCCTTATATCATCAGCTATCTGGTAGTGAAAGTCAAAATAGGTCCAGCCAATTTGGAGATTAGCCGGAACAAACAGACAGATAAAAAGTTCAAAAATTGGTTTTTATGTCATAAGTACTGTATAAACTTTCATACTATGCGTTTAATAGAAAGCTGTTATTTTTTGTATAGATTACAATGGTGTAAGCAATGACTTTGTATTCCGTTTGCTAATTAATTATGCGATATTGGTATCTCATATCTCGAAATCAGATTATCTAGGTGTCCTACATTACAACTAGGAAAACAATTTGCTTAAAATTGCTTACAACGACTGGCAATCAATAAAGCTGTCGCTTGCAATGATATATAATTGCAATTTAATAACGAGCGACTACGTAAAGTCCTATTAGCCTAGTAACGCACTTTTCCAGAAATATGTTATGTTTATACCACATTTTGCAAACTGTCCGTTTATATAACAGTTTATTTAGACTTAGTGATCAAAATAGTTAAGATTTTTTTTATAGAATAAGGGTGAAAAACAAGCAAATAGTCGATCTGATGGTAAGTGAATGTTAACTAGAATCTAGAATCTAGAATATCTAATCTAATCTACCTAGAATCAATATGCAGATGCATTGTCGCCCCTGAGGACTTAAACGGAATGCCTCGTTTCCAGCAAAAAGGTTCTCCGGTTCTTTACACTCACCATACGAAACACAGCAGCATTACAACAGTTGAGCCGACTTATTCGTGCTACAACCATAATATAGCTGTAGTGTGGCTTTACCATGTAAAAAACTGCTAATAAAATTTTTGTTTTATGATGTGGATTATATCAATTTTCTAGTAGAAATAAAAATTCAGACGCGTTGTGATCCTCGATTACTAAGAGGAAATGCCTCGTTGATAGAAGGGATCTTAAGTTCTCTTTTTGCTATGGCAAAATAAAGCTTTTGCTAAGCATAATTATATTCATTTCACAAACACAGCAGTATTATATTAAAATTTTACATAAACCATGTGAGCGTGATATTTTCCGGGTCGAGCTATACGTGATAAAGCCATCACACAGCAGCAAGGGGGCCTTGAAACAATATAGTTGTTAATGCAAAGCAAATACGAAATGAATTTAATAATATTAATGATAAATGAACCAACCGTCCACCTGATAGTAAAGGGATGCAGACTATTGACAGTAAGTTTAAACAAACAATGTCAAACATACACAAAATTGCGTTGTAACTCTTAAAGCTAAGTTAACCTGTAAATATATATCATTTTTTTTTTTTTTTATTTTTTAAAAAATCCCCTTATTACTATTTTGGTTTTAATAATG